TAAAGATGTATGTTAAACATTTAAAAGTCCTGTATCTAAATATATTTATTCTGTATACAAAGGCCTTTTATTCATACAACTCGGTTATTGTTGACAAACCTGTGCAATAAGTAACAGATTCTCCAAGTGCTTTTCTAGTTGTATCATTCAAGTTAATGAGGAAAAGAAAATGATTCTAGAGTAGTTTGCATCATGAAAGTGTATATTAGTTCGTGTTTACTCTATCACAGAAATTAGGGACTTAAAAGTAGCACCGAAGTATGTGCTCAAAGTTTTTCCATAGGAACTGTTAACTATCGGCATTCGCAACTCATCGACTAAGATCTTAACAAATACAGACATTTATAGATTCCTCATCCAGATTTGTATGTAACTTAAATGTATTGACTGTTCTTCTGCAATTTTAATGCAATAAGTTGATTTAGACTGCTGCAATTTTTTTATTTTCGCTCTAACGATTCATGTTAATGCTATTTGTAGTCTAATTGTCTTAAGTGACTTTTCCATTGTGAAAGCAGGAATGGTTAGAGCGCTGGGAAATTTCTTGAATACTAGATCAATCTAATGGTTGTATCTAGTTACTGCCTACTTACGAACAGCAGGAATTCAATGGTCCATAAATACATTTGTTCCAAATAAAACGATTGATTTTAACTTCCATCTCATCTTCAGTAAAAACAACTGGTCGTACAAATATGATCTGCAACTTAGTTTATGAAGTTTTAGACCGTTGGTGCGTTATTGCTATGTATAAATATATACTACTTATTATATTTATTTTGGAACCTATTTTTATTATAATTCAATTTTGAGAAATGAAATGTGCGGCAAATAGAAACAGGACGGGAATTTTTCGCTAGTTTGTGTAAAGTTCTTTTACTAGTTCAGAATTTATAGGAATTTAGAGATCAAAAACAAGTTACGAATATACGTTTTGATCAACAGTCATAATAACTTACAAGTCGAATCTAAGACAAGATTACATATATAATTGACAACTGAGTAATAACCAATATCCTATTGTCTAGTCTTTTAGTGTTAATTTATATCAATCAAGTTGTGGCTTAACACCATAGGACACTGTTCTGATGAGCAGCTTATTACCACTTTTAAAAAATTTATCAAGACAAACGTCCAAATCTGTGGGTGTTTGTCCTCCTAGTTTGTTCGCAGTCTCTGAGTGTCGGCAATTACAGGGGTGACTAACTAGTCTTTCTATTAACCAAGACATGATTTTTCCGTGTTTGTTTGCTTTCACTCCTCACAAAGTCACTGAAAGAGAATATTTGAAGACTAATTAGTTCAAGTTTATGGTTACAAGCTACTAAATGACCATAGTTGCCCTAACAACGGGTTGAATGAAACTTCATGATTACATAGGAGTGTGAATTGCTGATATATGCACTTAACTCCTCTATGAATAGACATTTAATAGCCTTATCTTTTAAGGAGGCATGTTTCTTGAGACTCTCCACGTAAATACTCACATGTGTTTAAACCAGTACATGGTCGTTGTTTAATCAAATGCTCCAATACAGTAGTGGGGTCGATACTAGGAATAATTTGTTCTCACTTTCAAAATATTTCAATATCCCCACATTTCGTTAACCATATTAGAATAATTTCAAGTAAATTGAGCATTGGTTAGATTGTTATCAATAAAAGTAATATATTTGTAATATCCCAATAAGTAGAAGAATTAGACTTTTCTGATGTTTCGTAACTCCGTACAAGCTACTTCTTCAGAGAATAAATAAACAAATTAAATTAACCCAAGTTTAGATAGTACGAAGGAACGACGCAAGAATATTTGGTACGATCAATGAAGAAAATAGGTCTGACCAAGTCGATGTCGTCATTCCGGTCAAGGTGATTTATATGAGCCATTTTTGTGTATTTATGTGTGTATCTATGTTAAAGGATGAAAAAATGTGACATTTGTGGTGCGAAAGAATAGAGTTGAATTTTCCTACTCATTGGGATATTACAAATGTATTATTTTCATATCGGAATAATTTTTTTCATTACCTACGAATGAAACAAGTTTTTGTTAGTGTTAACCCACTTCCTTTTTTATTAACTACAGTAATGATAACGCTATCATATGCATAATAAAAAGCTTAATCTTCTCTTGATTATACTATCTAAAAATACCCATTTTATATCAACCCATGTACTTAATCTGTCTTGCTGCCACATGGCATTTTCATCATACTCAGGAGCTCGCTTCCGTTGGTGTTTTGGGCGTTCTAGATCGTCCTGACTTACCAAATAGCTATTAACATAAAGTTGTATCTAACACAGCCGGTTTGAACCAAGCGTTCCATTTTTTATGGTCAATTATAATTACACAACTATCCGTCAATAACCTAAGAAAATGTCCGGAGGTTTTTCGAAGACCGTCACATCGGATGGTCAAAAACTGTTATAAGAATGAAGAAAACAGCTGCATCTGGGGTTTTTAGAAGCTACTTTAGTTCTCTCATGTCATCAATAAGAAGTTTCACGTCAGAAAACCAATCCTAGAACACTTGGGTAAACATTTTGAAAGTGAATTCAGTTTGTGTGGTACTCCAGCAGCTTCGACTTCCAGTTGTGTCACATGATTCATAAATATACATACCGAAAAGTAAAAATTTATTAAGAATGTAGATCACCAAGGAATAAATTCAGCATTCATTAAACCTATCGCTAAATCATCATACATAGTGTATGTGAAATTCGTCCAATATAAATTTAGTACCTGTCCCGTCTAAAATAGCTACAATGAAAGTAGAGGCAATATACTAAACAAGTGAGAAATTGGCCCTCAACGAGCAGATCTGTCTTGAGGTTGTGGATGAATGTTTCACGTGTCCAACCTCAAATATATGTGTTAACAATGACAAATTTTATGTTAGCAGCTTTGTAGGTCCTGATATTATTAGGGATTTTTTTTTATTCGTCAGATGAAACTGCTCCGGAAAGATGACTTTTAACACGTTCTTTAGCATCTCAAAGAAAAAAGTAAGCTCCCAACCTCACTCAGAATGATGAAACACAATAAATATTCTCTGTCTTCAAATTGATGAAGGGTCTAAACAATGTTGCCTAGTTTCATCATTTCCTTTGTAACTATTGCATCGATCTCATTCTTCTGAAATATTCACATATAGCGTACGAGATTAGTATTGTATCTACAATTCATGAAAACACTAAAGCTTCAGTTTGTTGACCATATTATCTTACTGTGTGGTCCCACAAACCGTGCAAATTGATAAATAATCTGACGTTTGCTGGACTACGTAAAGTCACATCGATCTGAATATATCTATATTGATCAAGTAGTTGTATGCTTAATGTCCTTGGTCAAATCGTGGGACTGACACAAGTAAGAGGTATATAACCTAACCGTAGCTTATATTGCACTTCATCCTGCTACCTCCGTAAGTCAGTTGCATTGAATAAAGTGTACTGGGTCATTCAAGTGGTGTATTCTCATTTTCTACTCATAGTTCTAAATTTCATGTTAGTTATTTTATAATCAGTGTTTATTAGTATATTATGTTTATTGTAACTTTCAATTGTAAAGTAATTTCATAAGATTAATAGAAGTTCATGTTCGTATTAAATCATACGATAGAACTATCTTTGCATTTATTAGCTATATATTGATGGCGGCGTGACAGACAAAACAAATCTCTGTACAATGAAAGTAAGGAAGTTTCATATTATTTTTGAAGTAACCGTACCAATGATAATCGGCTGTGCAACTCTTCAATGAGAGAAGCTATATTACATATCTATAGAACCTGATGTCCACAAGCTAACGGTGTAGACTTCTTTTGGGCTCAGGGAAGACCGCTTTTTAGTGATACCGATTTCTATTTGAGTAATCCAGATACTCTTAACGTATGATATCTCATGGACTGAATAAAGCAGAGAAACAGTTCATAAGGTGGTGCCGTGGGATTAAAGATGACCTTGTTAGATTAACATCTTTCGACTTATCACGACCCCGAGATTACACAATTATGATATGATACGACTCAAAGTTAAAGTTCATGACAGTTCAACTTCGTATTTCTTTAATCTTCAGCATCAATAGTAAATTAAGATTTGAAGTTAACTAAATCCTTATCTCACTACTGCTCATCATGATTTTTTCGCTCAGTATAATGGTTACTGCATTGAAATGCTACCATATTTGCATGTTTCATTTTTTTGCTTTGATGAATCATATTTTTTAAGACATTTCGCATATGAATGATAACTTTAGTTCTACAATAGGAATTTAGTCAGCTCTCTGTTAGTTGTATTCTGAAACTTATTCGGCTAGTGTTGGGGAAAATCATTCTCATAAGAAACATGGTTGTCTGTTCAGCCACCTTTGTCATTCCATTAGTTTATCGATCGATTTTTCTGTTTTCTGGGCGACCCTACAAGACATGACTCAAAATCAATCACAATAGTGATTTAGGTGGATTTTTCTAGATCTCGAATATTTTATTACTCTTTTTTTTCTTATTTAGATACCTAATTGTTTTAACATAAGTACCTCTGAACGTTATTAGATAATGTTTTGTATGACAACGTATCTATCTGGTGCCCCATTGGAAGGAAATATAAATGCAAAACAATTCATAATTATCTTAGGTCTATTTACTGTGTTTGTTTTATATCACTTTTTTAAAATTCTTTATATGGTCTGTTTACTCAAATCATACGTATTTAAATGAACACTTTCATTCGTGTACTTGTATAGTTACATTATTATTTGTTAAGAAAATTACATCTGTAGATTATTATACTGGATTTCAAAGCTTTCATGTTAATTAACTAATCTAATGTACAGAATAATCCATCATTATATTATTATTAAATGTCACAAACAAAATAACCATCAAAACTAGAATAAACTGCTGCACTACTTTTTTTTGGTCATCGAAATAAACATTCACTGTTTTGGTATATTTACTGTTTTTTATCTGCTCTGTATTACATTATTCCTTATGGATTAGATCTCATCATCAGTTAGTAAATGGCTATACCACTGTGATTACAACTGACAGTATTCAACCTCCGAACGGATCTAATTCACACACGGAACTTAACATCTCTAGTGCACCTAGAGTGCCAGCAAATCAACATGATAGGGATTTTTGGTCAGCTTTGATAGGATCTCTATTTGGATCCCATAAATTTTCATCTACAAAGAATACTTTAGCAACTGTTGACTCAACTTCTAGAGGTCAAGATGCAGAATTACCTGACAGGCAACGCCCTTTAAATGATTGGACTGAAGTCGATGGTTTCTGGGAGCCTAACAACCTACCTGCTTCCTCTTCATTGTCAAATTCTAATGTTAATTCCCAAAATACTCAAATCGATGTGTCATTACCACCAGGTTGGGGTGAGTAATTCTTACTTTTTCTCAAATTGCTTTTAATCACAGATACGCCATTTCGCTTTTAAGTTTTTAGCTTTCTAATTAATCTTTAAATAGAGTTTTAACAAGGTAATTCTATCAGAAACTTTAGCTGATCATCTAATAAAGTGACCTTCAGTCACTTTATTGGTTATGTCCAAAAATTATTGTTTCATATATGATATATTTTATAGAAATTAAGTGCTTTATTCTCTAAATACTAATAAGTTAACAATTGATTCAGTCTTTTAATGTTCATGTAGTTAAGTGAAATCGGTAAACAGCATAGATTCTCTCTTATTGCGGTGTTTACTTAATTCTCTCATGTTACGACTTTGTACTTTGACCATTTATTATTAATAGTTCATAATAAACTCATTAACATTCACTGCAACGTTGAAGCACTACTGTGTTTACTAATTTAAACTTGCACAACGTTTAGAGTTTTTGTTATACGCGGTAATTGGATTTAGATTCACAACTGTTAGTGTCAGAAAATGAATTAAATATTTTGTCTTTGTATTACAACAATTTCCTTTCATAATTACGGTTTCAAAAAGTATATTTATGTTAATCATGTTAAAGTGGTACTTTGATCACGACTTGTGATACCAAAATATTGATTACTTAAATCTACTTGAAAGCGATTATTTTGAATATCTCTAATCCTGTGATTTATTAATCACAAATGCGTTATTGAAGCCGTACTTGATTATATTTTGCTACTCGTTGTGACTCTTAATAGTGTATGAAATACGTGTTGCTTGAATATTTTATGGTCTTAATATACTTGTTAATTGAATTGGGTACATTTCAGTAAGTTCCGGGTGATGTCAATGATGACCTGCTTCGGTTTGGACACCCGGGCAGTATATATTTGGTAACTCCTTGTACCAATGTTTATGTCTGTGTAGAATCTATTACGACACGTTTCAGGTTTGTCACTCAGTACTTCTGATAAGTCTTGCGATTTTGAACGCTATACTCGATTCCTAAGCTATTCTTGAAAACCCCCAAGCTAGAACTATACAGCGACCTGAACACGAGAGAGAAGGCGCAAAGTATGCGAAAAGTACTTTACTCCAAGGTTCATTTTTGTACAGAGAAACATGGGTATTTATAGATGTTAACATTTGTTGAATCAACATCATATTTTGGCCAATCCGCTAAAAGACATATTATGCTACTGACCAATAGTAGCACGCCACGTTGGCATTCTAGAAAGCTCCATCGTGCTCTGATTGGTTAAGACTCTTTGGCTCCTTCAGGGCCTCTGGAGGCTCTGTTTCAGTTCTCGGAAAGCCGACTTAACAACTTCAAATAAATTGTTCGTCTTTCTTTGGCTTATTATTTAGGTTGTATGCAATCAAAGTTCATATGTTTTCAGATATAAGTAATCAGCGTTTGATTAGACTTTCACCATAAAATTAAAAACGATTCTGACTTGCTCTTCATGTGTAAAAGCTTCAATTACTCTCATATTGCAACTAAATAGGTATAAAACCGAATTGTGTATTATAGATTTATAAGAAGTGACTGTTCTCACTTTTTGTAAAGTAGTCAGCCTTTAGTGTTTATTAGTGGTTAATATCTTAAGAGTCAAGTCTCATCTCCATGTTTTTCCATAGTTAATTTATTATTTCTACCTTTCTAAACATAGAAAGACGTTTTGACAAGTCAACTCAGAAATACTATTTTATCAACCATAAATGTAAAATCACTCAATGGGAGGATCCACGTGAACGTGGAATGGATGAAACCCAACCTCTCCCGCCTGGATGGGAGAAACGTTATACTGCCCAAGGACAAAGGTTTTTCATTGATCATAATACCCATACTACTACCCTTGTTGATCCACGTACTGGACAACATGCTGGGTAAGGAATATCATATTCGCCTATTTTATAATATCTGTTTATAAACAATCTCTAAATGCTTCCCCAGAAGCACTCCTTTAGTTCGGATTGTAGATGAAAACGGGAAAAATTCAATTCACGATATTTATCATATTATTAATAAGGGTTTGTATTACATTGTCAAAATTGACGACTGAATTTCGGTTAACTTGATGTACATAACATAATAGTTCTATATATTAACAATAGAATAATGCAAACCTTCACAAGTAATGATATAAATATCATACGTGTTGAACAAGCTAGTGATTATCTGGGCTCAGCGCATAACGCGTTTGGGGTCTAAAACTAAAGGTACTTTGTTCAAGTTTCGGAGTGAACATCGATATTAAGATGTAGATAAAACCAGTGGATGAGACGATACTTGCTTCCACTGTTAGTGTTCCGTAAATTCTAAACCATGTTATTTATTACTTATTGATGTTGCTCGTCCTTAGTATTTATCTGTACTCCTTTTTCGTAAATCTTTAAAAGATTATTTTTTTTTAAGGACAGTGGTGACCATCATTATAACTTTATTTTAATAATCTCCTATTAAGAAGTCATCAGGAATTCATTTACCAATTTTAAAAACAGTTTGATGATAGTAGTGGTTTAAAAAAATCTTCAGAAGTAGATCTCTTGTACATTAATGAAGACACACAGCATAGCTTTGGATCATATCTATTAGTCATGGTGGTTGACAATAACCAAAATAAACAATAACTCAATATCATTCTTTATTTAACTGTATTAATCGTTGTCAAGGTAAATGCAAATAAATTTGTTCCAAGTAAATATAATATTTATGTTTTCTTGAAAGGTTAGCATTATTAAACTGGACGAAGCAAGCTTAGTCTTCTCATCTACATTTTGTTTTCCAAAATACTTCAGACTACTTGCGAGTAGTACAACAACACCTGAAGTGTGTAAAAATTTCAATTTTATTTCTAAAAGAAATTAGAATCTTTTCATTTTATTCCTTTATTTCCTATAGTTCATTAGGTAGTATGGGAGTCCCATTGCAATATGAAAGGAATTTTCGATCCAAAGTGAATTACTTTCGTGCTTGTTGTACAAATGCCATGTTAAATGGGCAGACTAAACTTCTTATATCAAGAGACAATTTATTAGAGGACTCGTTCCAACTGGTAAGAACTTTAGATAGTGCATAAATATTTTAGTTTTTTAAAGACGAAAAGCCAGTTTCCTGTACGCTAATGTGCGATTTCTGTATAACTTTTTTTGAAACTATGATATTCGACGGTGAATGGTACAATACAAAGTTTTATGACTTTATCAGTGCTCATCAGTTATCAGTAGGTGAGAGCTTCTTGACTAAATTTTGATAACTAAGAGAACAAAGTATAATAGTCGTTCCAATTCTTATTAGAAATTTTTATTTTTGAACGAAACAGATATTAGGCGCGTTAGATTGTTATTCAGTTATTCTGGACCTCTAATTGCGGTGATAGTCTTAGCAATTAATGATTTTAACATGTTTAACAGAGTGGTGAACGGATTACTCCCCCCCCCCATATTTTGACGTAGTTTCTCATAAGAGAAGATTAGATAAGTCCGTTTAAAGATTCTAAATAAACTTAAATTATCACTTCTAATTACAGTATCAAATCACTAACCAGAGGAACGTAACATGAAAACTAAACTTAGAATAAAACAAAAGAATTTTAGAACCCCATCATATGTTATGATACAACCACAATAACACAAACCTATCAACGTAGCAAGACACTCGTTAATTAAAGTTAAAAACTATTTAACTCTATTTTTAAGTAATTCGAAACTTTAAGCTTTGTATATACCATAATTTTTGTAGTTTACTTGATATAACTAACGTGCACATTTTGAGATCGTGATCCGCAAAATAAAGTCTAGAGATAGTTTGAACATTGACTGAAATTTCCAATTCTCATTTGAATCAGGAATTGATAAGAGTTCTCTGATTGATAAAGCTATATGAATGACTATATCTATGGAAAAAGTTGATTTTTGCTTTGAGCATAAAAAAGAACTGCACAAAAGTATAAATGCTCTTTATAGATAATAACCAGCTAAAGTCTATCGAGTATTCATAGTATATTTTACATTAATATTTAATTATGTTTTCCTAGTTAACTTAATGTACTTGTTAGTAACAGGTCATAATTAAATTATTTAATGTTTATTATGAACGTTTTTACTCCGACCACCTTAAACTATCTTCTAACACGTTAGGTATCCCAAATGTCTTCATCTGGTTTAAGAAGACGTTTATCTATAACGTTTCTACATGAAGAAGGTTTGGATTACGGTGGAGTAGCCAGGTATATGGGCATTTTCGAATTGATTGTATTATGACACTTGATATCATTATAACACTTGTCTTAAATAACTGAGTTTCTATGTAATTACATGGTAAAATTTTAAAACTTCGCATATTCTTGATTCATATTGTTATGTTGATAATTTTAGGTAATTCTAATTACTAACTAACACGAAATGGAAAAGCAGAGAACACTAAGCAGTATGTGCTACACTCCTGACTATATTAAGAGGAAACAATTTCCATGTATGCTTTACCTTATAATGTTTTTGTGACGGTGGATGTCAGTACAGTATAAACTACCACTAATAATAATCCTCATTTAGCAGGTTACGGTCTGTATAACTGTCTACTTAAACTCCGTTAATCATGTCAGTTTTTTCAGTATGTTATCATCCATAATTTGCCACTTATTTTGCAATGCATTTCTTAAGTAACATATTCTTCAATCTTTTGGGGATGTTTATCAAATTTGGTCCCAATGTGATGTATTGGTCAACGTACACCAAGATAAAGTAATTCTTTAGAAATTTTATGTCAACCGATTTCAAATAACTCACGGAACCTAGTGAGACGTATGATAAATAAAGATACTGATTGTTTTTCTTTTACTGTTCTTGTCTTGTTTTTAAAATTAATCAAATCTGCTTTTGCGATCTCTTTACATTTATTATTATTATCTGTCGGGTTTTTTTCCCTTACTAAAATAACCGAAGCCATGTATACAAAGCTTTGTTTTTATTTTTGTCTCACTCATTTTGATATTCAGTTTATCGTGGAAACGACAAAATTCAGAATCACTTATGTGTTTATGTAACTGAATTATTGTCTTTTTGTCCAGAGAATGGTTCTATCGTCTTTCAAGAGAAATTTTAAACCCAATGTTTGGCTTGTTTGAGTATACTGGAACAGATTATGCCTTACAAGTAAATCCAGCCTCTCATGTAAATCCAAATCATATGGCGTATTTTCGATTCGTTGGACGCTTTATTGGTATGGTAAGTTGAACCTCGTACGTGTATTCTTTTAATAACCCATTACTCAATTTTAAATCAACTGGTGAACTGAAGCGTGCGCTTTAAAATAATTCAAGATGGGTTGTATGATTCATTTTAATGTGCAATTAAGTGACCCCTTTTAATACCTACAGAACTTGCCCTCACTATGGAATCAGCTGAAAAAAATGTGTGAGAGTAATTTTTATGTAAAATGCGAAAAAAATGAATCAATGTTCTCATCCATTTCGACAAACAGATGAAATTGTATTTTAGTGTTCATTTAATGATGATTTTGTTCGAATTTCAGTTGTTGTGTAATATGTTTCAAACCCTTTTCATATTTTCAAGATTTGTTTTAGTTTTCCTATCTGACAAAACTTATCCATAACAAATAATCAATTTCAACCTTTTTTCATATTTACTCATATCTAGTTTAAATCATTTTAATTAATGTTACGTACAAAATGCATTAACCTCTCCATTCATCATAAAATCTTAGTGTTAGTTTTGCAACCATATGAAATACATCCATACTCTTCTACAGTCGTTATCTGCTAATACTACAATTGGTTTCTTCTATACCTTGCTCGATCCTAATAGTAAACACGACTAAACATAAATGTAACTACAAGCTGTATTTAATCTAATGTCTTATTTTACCATGTAGAATTTGTGTAATCCGCAAATTTAAGATCATAGGGACAGAGTTATACTGCCATGATTCTTGTTTCTAAATTATCTTTTGTCCAATGTTAAAATTTTGTCATGTGTTATACCATAAATAATTCCTCGTAAATTTGTCACTACTTGATTGTGTGACCTGCAAGTCCCTTTTTTTGATTGGTCAATTCTAATTAAGATTCGATGATGCATATTGAAGGGGAAATTTTCTGTTTTACCTACTGCTGATAGCTTAATATAATAAAATTCAAATGTAAATAACAGCGAGAACTTCATTCATAACAGTAATTGATGTTCTTGTTTTGATGAAATTTACAAAAGATGAGAAACCGTATAGAAAAAACAGATTTCTAGTTATTCACTTCTACAATTGCATATATATGCATCCAGTAGCTGGGTATGATTTTTCGTGTTCTAGCTTCAAAATATTAAAGCTGAAGTGTTACGTTAGTATGGCAACGCAACACTAATTTTAAAAAGTTCGTTTTTTAACTGCAACAGCAAATGATAATTCACCTTATCAAATTTCATATTTAGTGGTCAGTTTACGGAAGATTAACTGAGCTAAACATGTTAACTAGTTGTTCAGAACTTCGATCTGAATATGTTCAAACTAATTTGTAACTTACCACCTATAAAAATACCCTTACTTGTCGGGTTCGTTTAAATCACATATTTCCTGCCAGATTTTTACGTTTTGTTTTCGTGTATGATTATCTGGGAATTAATAGAAACATTTCCTTGTCTATCCATCCAGATTTCAATTTTTCTCTACATATTTAATAGAAAGAGTTTGGAATATGTACTTTTTGTCCAATCTAACCTTTATTTTATCTTATGTTCGTCTAAATTTCACCAAGAGAAGAAATACCTACATACCTCACCAATTAATATTAGTGTGTACCACATGTTGGTAAAATTCTTATTTAACACTATGGGCATATGGATATCACTGTAACGGTTAGTCTTTGTATTAGGATTACGGGAAAAATTGTAACTTCGTATGTATATTACTTAGCTGTTCAACTTTGAACTATCGCATGGCCAGACTCATATCGATTTTAGTTGCTCGGTTCGGAAAATCCAAATAAATCCATATTGTATAATTAGGTGATCAAATTTTATCTATTGCAATCTGATCACTATATTTTAATCTTAGGCACTTTAAGAAACTTGTCAAAAAGAAGCTCTGAATATAGACTTTGTGCACTAGTTGGTACTTCTCAGTAGATGAGCATTTAAGTTATCTATTTGTTTATAAATGTACTTTGCTTCACATATCCATTTTACAAATGAATTTAGCAAATCAAATAAACTGTGTATGTACGAATTTATGTTAACCAGTCCTTCTCAGTATAATTATATTCTTTAAATCTATATTTCAGGCACTTTTTCATGGTCGCTGTATTGATGGCGGACTTACTCTTGCTTTTTATAAACAAATTTTGAAGAGGAAATTAACATTAGAAGACCTTGGCCATACGGATCACAGTTATTATCAATCGTTAATTTATGTCAGGTAAGATTGGATTTCGTTTAAAAAACAAAAGCAAAGCTGAAAACCCAATACACAAATATGTACTTTAAAAATTTCACATTGATCAGGGAGTTTTGTCTACAACTCAACTTTCGATTTTTTAGCAAGTCACCAAAGTGTTGTTATCTCCAGCTTAAAACGAACCTGTTCTGTTTAGTATGAAATGATCTCAGTCTCAAATGACGCCTTTTATGATCTGATTACATACACAACTTAGTTGCTTAATGCTTCCTTCCTAAGACTTTGGATGAAATAAATGTAGGCAATGTTCTTTTTAATTACCCCGCCCCCTCAATTGTTTACTCTTGCGAATTTGAGCTTGTTGATTGGCCAGTTGTTTTCTTTGCACTTTTTTTCTTTTCACTATTTAGAGATAATCCAGTTGATGAGTGTGATTTGGACTTGTACTTTGTTGGAACCTATGATCTTTTGGGCGCTTTGCGTGAAGACGAACTTATTGAAGGTGGCAAAGATATTAAAGTGACTGAAGAAAATAAATCCGATTATATCAGGTACACAAATTCATTACCTACTAAAAGATTACGTATGTCCACTAAATTATGTATAGAAAGCTTCGGTCTCTTTTTTAGATAATTCTCTAGAGATTAATGTTTGTTTTTTTTGTATGTTTATGATTTATGTGTAATCATGAATTTCATAGAATCGCAACTAAAATCTCCATTACATGAGGCTTTTATTGTGGGGCTTAAATGTTGCATACTATTTCATCCAGGATACTCTCATCCTAGTTACGACTAAAGTGCACAAAAGCTGAATGAGTTCAGAATGGCTTCAAGTAAAGATAGAAACTGACTAAGTCTATTGCGATAACGAAGATCATATATTTGCACATGGTGTTGGAGGTGACCTGACTGAGAAATTGACTTTGATTTGTGGTGACTAATCATCATAGCTTTTGTTTACAATACACAACGATCAGTCTATTGTCTGTCGTAAGAACTTTGTTTACATCACTTGTGACTGTGGTTTCCAATCAAAAATAGAGTTGAGAATGGTTTATTGGGGATGAAGGTATTTCTTAATCTTCTTTCGACAAGTATAAAGCAATTATTTATTCCACAAATACATTTATTAACTGATCTGATACTTCAATAAAATCATCGAGAGAATGGCGTCTTCACTCGCCTCATGTTAATCAATCACATTTGATATAGTGCTTGTTACTACTTCTTACTTATAAACTTTTCGAAAATAACTGGTGAAAACTTACTAAATCTTTCTCTTAAGTAATCAGTGGCGAACTATTCCATACTGATATGCAATTGGCAGTAAGTACTCTCACTTTTTCAACACGACCTTAGCTACTGCCTTGACGTGGTGGTCGAGTTTATCTATTGGGATGATCCGACCGAGCTATATTGCTTAGAACACTTGCTCCTTTATATCGTACCGTACTAGGCAGGTTGGTTGGAGAATGGTACGCCTGAAAGATCCGCGGACAGTAGTACTGGTGACTGTCCAAGAGTGTGTTTACTGCCTAGTATTCTTCTGTGTTCTTCCTTAAAACCGTGAAGGATAGTCTATGAAATCAGAAGGCATGTACAGGCTGCAAGTTTCTAATCATAGGTGTCTTCGATGCTTTTTCGCTTGCGTTTTCTGGAAAGACAAAATGAGCGATGTAGAAATTAGGTATAAAGTACTTGGCAAATGTGCTATACCGAATGTTAAGACAGTGAATCTTCTTTGATCCATATGTTTCGGACATATGTTGAATAAAGTTAACCAACACCTACCTCGAAGAGCGATGCTTACTTGTGCAGAAAGAGATTGAAAGAAAGGTAGGGGCGGAAAAACCAAAATGTGGCATCAGTCCATGAAATTATTGATCGTTGGTTTGAACTATGTTGACAAGTGCAAACTACCTGTTTGGAGTCCGTGTGATAACGGCCATCAGTGGTTGGACACTGAGTAAGATGACTGAGAATCGCTCACTATGGCTCAGATTCATTCACTCTTCATCTTCTCGATCTTAAATTCCAGTATCTCTTCATGTCTGTCTTTTCAAACCGTTTTCTCAATATCTGTTTATCATTGCCACCATATTATTCCGATCTCTTTTGTTATTCTCGTCTTGTCGTGCTACAGAGGTATGACAACTTGAACTGACGCGACTCTGTGCCAGGCTTTCTGTTGATTATCTGTCTGTCAAAGTTTTAAATAAGATTGGCTGTTTGAATGGAACAACAAAATTATTGTGTAACCTTCGCACAATAATTAAGATTTGTCAGTAATTTCGCTTAATTATTTAAGTCCCTTGTCTACTTGAAAAAAATCTCTTGTGATATGAAAAGTCCTTTTATGTAGAATTAAGTTACTATAGTTCATAAAGTACTGATTAATTTCACTTAAAAAGTATTCTGTTTTGCCCAGCTACATGTAAAGAGTAAATTCGTGAGGTAGAATAATCGACTAAGGTCACCGCAGTAAATATTCTTGCCGTTCTTATGTCTGGAGAGCAAGCGACTACCCCTCATAAATATGATTAATCATATGAATAAAGATTTATCTGCTCAACTATGTCTCATTGATTTAGGCACTTTATTTTCAAATTGTGAAGTAACAAAAGTCATTTGTATGCCGATAATAAATGTGTCTCACACCATAACTCTTAGTACATCAGCTTCTACGTGATTAAGAAATGTTCTGCTCTAACATTTGTCAAGCGTTTTTCGGTAAATATTTAATAATTTTGATGATGTCTAACCGAAAACTTTTATTTCGAACACTACCTATGTATAATTTTAGACTGATGGTTGATTGGCGATTCAACAGAGGAGTAAAAAAACAAACAGAAGAAATTCACAAAGGTATTTTTGAAGTACTAAATCCCGAGTGGCTGGAATTATTCGATGAGCGTGAACTTGAAGTAAGTCTTTTGAGAAAGTTCGAATGACTTCAAGTGTTCTACTGTACTATGTCTAGTATTATCGTAATTCTTTGTGCTAAGTACATACTCCATAGTTAACCTATATTTGATATTCTCGCACATATGTTTCTTCAGCATTTTAGCTTGATTAATGGTGTTTTAGACATCACCTCAGCAAACTTTCGGGGCTTCATTTATAAAGCTGGCAGTAGTTGTGTTTGGCGGGTGATAATAACTGACTGAAGTAACATGAAATGAAAGTTTATTGTTCACACCATTAAACCTCAGATGTGCTAAAAAACGTTTTTATTCCCACGACATGGTACACAAAATCGACTAGATAAACTGCAAAAAATGTACAATCTCAGTTTCCTATCCTCCATCTACTGCTATACATTCTTATGTTATTATATGTTGACTAATTTGTTTTCTTCACACTAAATTACATGCACTACCGTATTACAATCATATTCAACCTTAAAAATCGATCATCTCAATGTTGGGTGTTGGCAGACGTTACACGTCAACACGAGCATAACACTTGTTAATCAAACTAATTACTTTTGTGTTTGTATGTGTGCGTAATAGTCTATCCGTTTCCACTACCTTCTGTTTCATACACAGAAATTCTTATTTATCTCAACCCTTTTTCATTATTACACGACTAAAATGTGTTATTTGTAGACCCTGTATGGATTATTGATTCATTAGCTTTCTTTTGTTCTCTGTATATTATTTGTTATTGTTGTTCGCTTTGTTCACTTATTGCCTTCTCGTTAATTAATTCATATGTTGTATGCGTATTATTAACTAGTACTTTTTCTTTCAAAATAATATATTGGTCAATCCAATAACTAAATTTTGTATTAATTGTAAAGATTAGTATTTCAATGTCTATTATTTGGACTGAAAAGGACAAATAAGTGAGTTAAATTGTGAATAGATAGATCAAGGAACGATAAAAAAGCAATTAAATGAGATGAAATTATCAGAACAGACACCACAGTAGTAGACTTAATAACTCTATCAATGGTCGTAAAAAAACGATGGCCATAAATAATCACCCTCATACCTCTGACATCACCTTGTTCACCATCAAACCCCTTTATTACTTGCTAATATTTCTCCAGTCTTCACTGTCAACCCTTCTCGTGTATTTTTATCACCACTCGCCACGAACTCTAACTATTGTCCCACACCTCCTGAAACCGCGTTTAAACCTACATGTTAGAACTTTCAATGTTCGTACCTTATGTCAAATCGGACAACATGCCTCATTAGCTGGGACTCTGAAGTTTCGTGAAATCGAAATATGTTTCCGTACAGTATCCAGTTGTTATCATTTGCTTGAACTCACCTAGTTAATGTGGAGAACCAGCGTGATTCCCTCTCTGCGTTTCTAGGGTCTTGAATACTACTCCTCATAGCCCCGTTGGCATAGATGCTGCATTTGGTTATGGTGTAGTACAAGTACATGTTTGTCTGCATCTTACTGAACGCTAGAAAAGTGTAGCACCGACATCCATTCAAGTTCAGCTTAACAATGAGAAGTCACGAGTATATTTCAGACACTACCAGGTTAACCATAAAAGTGATATCCGATTTGAGACAGCTTGGTATCGATGCCCAAACAGCAGCGAGATCTGCTAGTAACTTGAACCAAATTTTAGAAAGTACTAGTGGATTCCAGCAGTGTGTACTGAATTGATAGAGGCTTGAGCACTAATCCTGACAGGCTCAAAGAACAATAGGTAGTCAAGGCACATTGAACGTAGACTGACAAGAAGCCTGTGTAATGATCATGAGCTGTAAAAGTCCATGAAAGAAGAAGAGATGGAAAAAGGAGCATTAAGGAAACAGGTATTAGAAAGGCAGGTGGTGGTGAGGCTATCTCGGGAGAGGACTGAACTGTATTATCCATTCTCAATCTAGGAGATTAGACAAATAGCGAAAACACTAAGGAAGAATTCAACTGACCTCAGGTTAGCTACCCTTCAGTTATACTCCATCTCAAACTCTTACTGAGGTTGAATGGATAATAGATTATATAAAATGAAGTAGGTTAACAGGCCTTGATGGTTTAGCTCCATAGATAGTGGTCCACTTTTACTAGTTGAATTTATTGAGATATTAGCTAGAGTCTGGGAACTGGATGTAATCCAATCTGACTGGTCTCGACGACTGATCGTTGCCGTCTATAAAAAAGATAAAATCCCTTTTGTGACAACCACAGAAGGATCAATTCGACCAACATAGTGTCTGAAATACTAATTTTTCTAACTATCCGACTCTTAAATGAAGCTTGGGAAATCAGGCTGGTTTCAGACGTGGACGCGAATGTACTGACCGAATATTCGCCCTTCTTCAAGTACTGAAACATAGATACTTTCCAACATTTGACTGTTGTTGTATTCCTTGTTCTTGAGGCAGCATTCGATCCTCTTGATAGACACACTATGGAGGTATTTAGCATTGAAAGGTGCATCAATGAAGAACACCCATCTTTACTCAGTACCCTAAGTATAATCTTAGTATTGCTCATTTGTTAGTGTCAATATGCGTGAGCAATCCTTTGAAGGCATCTATAATCAAATAATAGTGTTGAACGACTATCCTCTATTACTAGTGGTTTTGTTTTACAGTGTTAAAGTAAAAGCAAGCAATTTGTTTTAATAGCTCACCACTGTATAATTATTTCTGACCTCTGTTTATCATTCTCTGCTTTTTATTTTGAAGCTCCTATTATCCGGTATGCCAGAGATTGATGTTGACGATTGGGAAAAGAATACGGTCTACATAAAGTACACACGATCAAGTAAACAGATCATTTGGTTTTGGAAGGTAAACAAATATGCCAACTGTCCATCTGTCTGTATTTATATATATATATATATATATATATATATATATATATATATATATATATATGTGCCCGTACCATAACATATATTAGATTTCATTTCATAATATTCATTATACTAAAGGGTAGCTATATAAGTAGAATTTGATATTTTACACTGAGTGGTATCTACTAATTAATTTTAACCTATATCATGAGAACTACTTTGTAAGAAATTAATCTTTCTGTTAATTATACATTCACGAATGTATATCTATGAAGATGAATTAGTCTAAAAAGAAATTTTTCTGTACTGCAACATTAACCTTTCTTGTTTTATGACGTGTTCTGTTGTCAATGAAAACCAGAATCTTTTTCTTAGAAAAAATCAAGAATATTTACATAATTCCTTGATAGTCTTTTGTTGTGATCCTACTAAAGAAATCAATCTGAGTTATTTTCATTTATTAATTTATTTAATATTTGTTGATCCATTAAACTTACCAATTATTGCGTAAATTTCAGAAAGCTGTTTATCAACTAAATGAATTGAACATCAAAATTATCATTTTATTATCATAACATTTGTACTCAAATCGTTTTAAACTATATACATTGAGCTGATAGCTCTAAACTCATTCTCGTTGTTTAAAAAATTGTTGTAGACAGGTTTTAAGAACAAACTTATTACTTTATACTACTCATTGATTAAGCTTCTTGATATTCTTACATTAGCACACATGTTTCTGAATTATTGTTAATTTTTTTTTACAAAGGATCTTATCTGAACAAATGCACTGAATTTCCGTGTGCTTCCTTCCCCAATCGACAACTCTATTCACTATAGTAGTAGTTATATCATTCGAGAAAGTAATTTTAGCTCCTATGTTTATCTACTTACTACCTGGTTGATTTCTAAGAGTCGACGTTTCATGCTTATTAAAGTCATATTTATTTCTCATGGATTTGTAATGTTAACCTTTATGATACTTGACCGAGACATTGTATTGAACAACTTGGTGTTAATTTGACCTTAGATAGATTTTTCATCATAAATTTATTTGTATTAGTAGTATGTTCATATTGTTTTCTTATCGTTTCAAATCATGTTATGATTGTAATGAAATGTAATGGAATAGAGTGACTGATTACCTTTTCTAATATTCTGAAGCAATAATTTCTGGCGTTCTTGAAAAGAATCACGGTTAAGCTTAACAACCATTTGTTTGGTTAAAAAAAAATAGATATATGTCGAAAATCAAGTTCCAAACTAGTTTAACTTTTTCTGACAAACTATTTTTCTAATCACAATTTATTTGTACTCGTGGATATTTTGTTCATGGCTATTCTATCTATTCTTTTCTCTGAATTGTTTTCATGAAGTTGATTCGAAAACTTGATAATGAACATCGTGCTCGTCTTCTACAATTCGTCACAGGTACCTGTCATTTACCATTAGGAGGCTTCTCTGAATTAACTGGTGAGTAGTAACTTCCGCAATATATCGATCGAATAATTTCTCTCCTGTAACTGATGTGAAATCTGTAAATTTTTTTTACCGGATTTTTTAAAATATTTATCAATCCCTAATAATAGTTAAAGTTGACTCAATATTTGGCATACAACTTTGTGAATAGTTGCATTTATTTAGTTTTAATTTAATATATTTATTATCAATTGTTGAACTAAAAGTCACTTATAGTCATGATGTTGAGTGCTTTTTTTTTAATTTTATCTGATTAAATATATGATTACTATTTTTGTCTACTGATTTTGCACTGGAAGAACCTTCAGAAATCGATTATTTCGAGTGATAATTGACTGAAATATGTGTTGGATTTTTCTTATTTTTTAATCATGTATTAACTTGAATTCGTGAGTTTAAGGATAATAGCACTGTTTATGCAGTGCATTAAATGAGTTAACCAAACCAGACCACACTAAAAGCTCAAAATGATTAAACAAAACATTTGCACCGTTGCAGTCTATGATTTGTAGTGAGTGTTTAGCTTTGTAGTCAGAATATTTTTCAGTAGTAATTGTAATATCAATAAATACACTTGATTATCATTAATTTATTTCCCTTTTTAGGCAGTGGTGGTCGTCAATTATTTTGTATAGAGCGTACAGGCGATGAACAATGGTTACCACGTAGTCACACATGCTTCAACCGGTTAGATTTACCACCATACAATTCGTACGATCAATTATACGAAAAACTGCAAATGGCAATTGAAGAAACTAAGGGATTCGGGCAAGAATAAATCTAACCTTCTCTATGACTTACCCTTAAAAACACTTAAATTATGATGTTATTTTTTATTGTGTATATTCCAGTAACCATCTATCACAGTAGTGATTGATGAGAAACGTTTTGTGGAGGTTTGTGTAGGCGGTGAAGTGGTAAAATCAGTGATATACTATGTTTTGAATAAACTGTGATCTATTACCAATTAGTAATCTTTTTTAGTATGTAATTTACATTTTCTCTTTCCGATTACCATTATTATTATTATTATTATTATTATTATTATTATTATTATTATTGTCTCTGGGTAATGAAAATTATTTTATTAAATATTTTTTTCTAAATTTGGTTTTACTGATTTTGTCTTCAATTTAAATGCGATACTTTCTACATATATGTACCTAAACGTATGTTTTGCTTTTACGCTAAATTAATCCAACAAATTATGTTCGCTTGTTTGCGAACAAAACGTGTCAGATGATGTGGCTCTCGTTACTTTCCAAGTTGACAATGAATTGGCCTTATCATTGACTGGCTTAATTAGACTAAAAACACAATGCATTATTAAAAACTAATGATATTGGACTTCTTAAACCTTTGGATAAAATGTGCATCAACACGTTTATAAGGCATTTGAAATTTTGAAACTCGGGAGAGGACTTGCATCTTAAATGAATACTTTTGGTAGTTATTTCATCTAATGTCATCCAGAATAACATTGATTGATTTGTAATTGAACCATCTGGATCAGAGAATGCTACACCATCAAAAGCTTATCGTTTATGTCAGTATGAACACGATTAGGATCAAATTAAAACATCCACCTGTACTAAGATTCTAAATTAGATAAACGTGAAAACAATAAGTAATTTATGGCATTTAATAGTTAGTAGAATTCTTTGCAGTTACTTCAGAAGTGTATTCCCGTAATGTTTGTAACTTTAAAGTATAACTCGAAAAAGTTTCCTTAGCTTACGTTGATATACTCACAAAATTCCTGGTGTCCATAGCATATTCTTATGTCATTCCTTCAGCAATCAGGATTTCACGTGAACTACTGGCCTAGAGTTAGTGCTTTTCAACCTTCTTAAAGGAATATTCTTTCCACTAATACCATTCCAGTCTCAAATGTCCACTTACCTTTCTTAAGGAACTCCTACATCACGTTACCTGAGTAAATGTGTTTCCCATTTCAGAGGATAAAAGGTTTATTTTATATGAAAGTATCTCAAGTAACAAAGAAATTGGAGTATTCATACTTCGACCTAAGCAGAAGAATTTACATTTTTTAATTCTAGCTCTCGACCTGTTAGCACAGCATACACTTGAACTCATCAAATTGAACCCAGATACTTTAATACTCTGAAAACGCGTCTTTGATGTGAATTGTACATCACGGACTCTTATTCGCAACTTCTGTAAAGTACTTCCAATTCACTCCAGATCTTTATCCATAAATTACATTCCGTTATCATTTACCTGTGGACCCTAAATTACCAGTTTGGAACTAAGCGCCGGAACACTACTGATCTACCGGGTTTTTATAACAGTTGTTTATATGCTTTTAGACTGGAACGTTCAACTAAAGTAAAGTGATGATGAACAATATTTATTTGTTACTTTTACCTAATTTGTAACTCATATCACCCGGGATATAATCACAGATGAGTTCTACCACTAACTGAATGAATTCAGACAAGCACTTTCATCGTAATTCTAGTTGATAACTTAGATGTTCAGGTTAGCCGTTAGGACACAGGAAAGTCGTTCAAATGTCCAGTGTTGACTCGTAGATCAGAAATAGCAATGCCTGTTCTATGTATAATTTTGGAGTTCCCAGTTTGTTTTTACTCTGTCATCTTACTCTTTTTTCATCTCCGATGTGCTACATAAAGTTTTCCTTCTTTAACTCAGGCCTGGACGTAAATAATATGATCAATGACTGGCAGTATAATTAGATTGACAGACTTCCCCTCCTTTATGTCAATCCACTTGCCCTAAATTGTTGATTTATACAAATCGTCAATTGTTAACTCCGCAGTCGAATATCAAATAGAGATAGGCTTAGGACTATCTAATAAACCACCAAAAACTCACAGATGGACGGGAAAGTGGCTTGCTAATTTACTAAACATTAAACTTACAAGCACTAATTTTTATGAGCTCGAAACTTAAGTGACGATCTTCAGGATCATCTGAAACACTGGGTAGAGCACTTCAAACATCAATTTACGTGGGGTATCACCATACAATTGTCCCGTTCTCTTTGATTACCTATCCGCCTAAAGCATTGAGGTTTCTGATGGAAACCCGAATGCTCAAACACTACAAATTAACCCACCCAGGACACCTAAATCAGGATTTTTCGTTAATGGAAGTGGTTATTTTACCAATGCTCTTAAAACCTTAACTTATGCAACGATCGTCAGTTACCACATAAGAACGCCTGCGAAAATCGACCTGGTTTCTATTTAAGTCTTTAATGCATTACTCACATCTCCACCGTCTGCCAAATACTTGGCCACCATCACATGTATCAATAGTTGTGTTTCTTGATATAAGTGCTACTTTCATTTCACTGGAGAGAATACTGTAGTATCAAAGATTTGAGGTTGATGTATATGATATGCTTACCGACATCTTGAAAACCTAAACAATTAATGAAATTGAATATATGTTCAGATTATAGACTTATGTGGGTTACTTTCGCGAATGCTATAAGAAATGCTCAAGCGAGGCAAGTAACAAAACCAGATTTTCATAACTAGATTTCCACCAATATACAACTAATACACTGCTCCGTGATATATTATAATCCCTCTATAAGTTCAGTAGGATTATTTCATTCTAACTAGCGCAATCCTAATCTCACTATAAGGAAATATATTTTTAATTTCTATAGCAATACGATCTATTTTCTTTGGGTCGAGTCTAATAAATTCATCTTGAGAGTTGAACTACTTAAATAAATTGTTAGTAGCATGATATGACAGGCAATACGTGTTTGCTGTGTATAAATAAGATTTTAAATAATAGGATTCCATTGTAGTTATCTCATATGATTTTCAACAGTTGAGATCATGAGTCAACTAAAGTTAGACCACCATAGAAAACCTGGAAGCACTGGACGGCCGTTTCGTCCTAGTATTGGACTCAGCAGTGCGCATCCACACCAGTTCTCTTCCGCTTTCCTGTAAAACAACAATTAACTTAACAGTATTACTCACATTTACTGATATTAAATAGTCAAATGTTCACATATAGATTTAGTAAATACATAAGCCTACCACCTGTATTGTAATACAGGCTGCCGACTAAAGATTTCCAACTATCTCTTTCTTGATTCATCCTTTGCAGTTATTGCCAAGTGGTTTTCACTTGGAATTTATTTGTGAGCTGTCCTCCATATTACACTGTGAAATTCAGTCCCTCATAACATTTCCATATAACGAAGACATTTCCATTCGCTCTATAGTATATAAGAAGACTCCATAAAGTTTTCGTATCCACTCCGTTGAATGCCTTTTCATCATCGACGAACTTGATGTATGATGACGACTTCCATCTAGTTGAATGTGCAAATGATTTGTAGTGTCACAGTTTGGTTATTTCATGATGAGCCCTTATAAAAATCGGTCTGTTGGTATCGAAGTAGTGTCTACTGAATTTTCCATTCACTGCAGCAACACTCTGTTGAAAACTTTTTCTGATACTGACAGTATTGAGAAGCTTCGATAGTTCAAACTTAATCGAATCTCCTTATTTCGGTATATTATTGAGGTATCCTTCCTTCCATCCTGTCGGTATTTGTTCTTCCTACAAAGTCCTCATGTAGAAAACATGGAACATTATTGTGACTGTCTATATGTCTGAATTGAACGCTTCAGTTGGTATGCAGTCTGGTCCTTCTGTCTCGCCATTCATGGTCCATTTGATGTCTATTCTGATCTCTTTGTATATAAGTGCAGCAACATGTATATTGAGGTCCATGTATGTTGCTGATCTGATATGTGGTGATTTTAGTGAAGCTGGTCTATTGAAGAGCTCCTGAAATTATTCTATACACTGTTTGCACTATCTGTGATCCTCAGGGATCGGATTCCCTTGTTTGTTTCCATCTGTGCTTTTTGATTTACCAAACTTTCGTGTTTGCCTTTTATTCTCGTATATAATTCTCTCATGTAGCTTGTTGCACTGTATCTGCCAGATATTTTGGATATTTCAGCTTATGAGCTATAATTTTCTCCTCCACTAGCTCGTTTGCTTCCATAAATTCATCCATCCTGTGGCTTAAACTACTGGGTTCTTGTTTGCCTATTGTTGATTACTGTCTTCTTGCTTTTTTCTCTTCAATCGTGTCCGAGTTACCCATACAGGTCTATTTGTTATGGTGGTGGTTGTGGAGGCTCAACACCTACTCACATGTCGAAGTTGTTTCTTTCATGACTCTCCGGTTGCTCTCCGTAGTGTTTTCGTCTTTCCCCCATTGGTTCTTGTGTGACTTGGAACACGTTGCTATCACCTATCTTGAATTCTCAGAGGTTGTTAACATCTCGAAGAAGGACTTTATTAGTCATTTGTAGTTTTGTTTGTTCAACTACTAAATGCTTGTTTAGCTTCAGTTATCGGTCGGTCGTCATCAGGTGCTGATCTGAATCTAAGTCAAACCGCACGGGTCTTCCGAAATTTTCACTTGTCAACATGTGGTCAGTTTATTTTCCGTAGTGTGGAATCCCATATGTGGAACCGATGTAGTTTTATCTATGCATTTGTGGGATAAAATTCTACAGCCTGTGACCATGTTGTAGAAATAACACCAATCAACCAATCTCTTACTATTCTCTTTCTGTTTTCCCAGTCCATGTCACCATATAATGTGTTCATACCTGGTGTTATCTATCCTGATGTTGATGTTGGTGTTTCCTATCGTGATGGTCATGTATTTTACTTGACTTTTCTCTAGGATGGACTGTAGCATCTCATGAAATTGTTGTATATCATCTTCGCTGCTGCACTGGTGGGTGCATAGCACTGAACAATATTCGTTTTAACCTTTCCCTTCATTATCTTGAAAGATTTTTTAGTGACCGTGGGGCTGTTGATTTTTCATCATATGGGCACAACGACGTTTTTTTTACGGAATTGTTATATACAAGTTGTGATTGATAACTATACTTTCAATCATTCTACGTTACTTTTGCTTGAGAACGACAGTAACTCGAGAAGAGACACAAGTGATGTCCGCTTGCTCCTTATCACTACAATTTACTATTTGATGATGTACTCTAGTGTGACAGTTTATATACTCCATGTTAGAATTCCATCATGATTTTTCCTTAAG